CAAGAAACTACAACTATAGAGACTGGAGGGAGGGCAGAGGTGTAGCCACAAAGGCAGTGATCGGTTGTAGGACAGCCTTGAGTACAAATTGAGATCATTAGTTTTTGATGTAGTGTTCCATGATTCATTGTTCGTGCATAACACCCAGTGTTCCACGCAGAATGTGCCCTCTTTAATACTATTCACCAGGCTAACCCATCCCCCCATCCCCCTCCCCTTGATCTGAGCACTCTGGCTGTCATGTGGAAAACTGACTGTAGGGGAAGAAGGAGTGAATCAGAGAGGCCAGTTAGGAGAATAATTACAGTTGTCTAGAAAAGACAGGAGGGTGTCTAGGACTGGGGGTGCAGTGGAGATGGAGAGAAGCCAGGAGATTAGAGATATATTTTTGAGGTAGAACCAACAGTACTTGGTGATGGATCGGATAAGTAATTGAGAGAAAGAGGAATCATGGATGACTCCGAGGTTTTGGCTTGGGTAACCAGGTAGATAGTACTTCCAGTAAGAGGTAGGGATGCCTGAGGGAAGGATGGGTTTAGATATAGAAGTCAATGGTTCTGGGTGCCTGGGTGGCTCAGATGGTTAAGCGTCTGCCTTCGGCTCAGGTCATGATCCCAGGGTCCTGGGATCGAGTCCCGCATCAGGCTCCCTGCTCCTTGGGAGCCTGCTTCTCCCTCTACTTCTCTCTCTCTCTCCCTCTCTCTCTCTCCCTCTGTCTCTCATGAATAAATAAATAAAATCTTTAAAAAAAAAAAAGAAGTCAATGGTTCTGTCTGTTCATTATAAATGTGTGCTGTCTATTAGAAGTTCATAAAGAGAGGCCGAGACTCGGCAGTTGAATATGTGTCTGGAGAGTCAGGACTATTGACATGACTTTGGTCATCACTGGCACATGGATTCTGTTGAAAGCTTTGGGACCAGATGAGGTCCTCCATAGAGAGGATTATAGAGGGACACAAACATTAGGGATCAAGCCCAGGAGAAGGTAGCAACTCAGATGAGAAGCAGCCAGTGAAGCAAGGGGAAAAGGTACTGCTGGACATGTCTCTGAAGCCAAGAGAAGGGAGGAATGATCGTCTGTAGCAAATGCCACAGAGGACAGAGAGTGGCCCTTGGCTTAGCTACACGGAAAGCACTGGTATCAAGGACAAGAGTAGCCTTAGTGAAATTATGGGGGAGGAAAGAAGCCCTATAGCAAGAGTCTGAGTACAGAATAGGAGGTGAGAAAGTAGATATAGTACTTGGATGCCTGGATGTAATTCCTTCAATTAGTCTGTTGTGAAGAGGAATACAAAAGAGAAATAATAGCTGGAGTGGGGTATAAGTTTAGAGAAGTTTTATTTTAAAATGTTTAAGATGTGAGATACTACATTATTATACTAAATGGGAATGATCCTGTAGAGAAAAAGAAAACGATAATGCAGGAGAGAAGAACTAGTGAAGTTCTTTGGAGAGGAAAAAGAAGAATGACCAGAGCATAAATAGAGGACTAGCTTTTCTAGGATTCAAGAAACTACAACTATAGAGACTGGAGGGAGGGCAGAGGTGTAGCCACAAAGGCAGTGATCGGTTGTAGGACAGCCTTGCGTACAAATTGAGATATACTGAGTCATGAATTTAAAATGAGACCAGTCTACAAGGCTGCATGTTTTCCTACAGCAAGTCCACAATAACTAAATAGGTCATTTGTTAGCTTTACCTAGGATAGGGTTTATCCAAGCAAGCATGATAGAGAGATATAAGGGCAGAAAAGGTAAGGGCATGTTTAGAGGTAGACTGTAATGGTGGCCCATGCAATCTGAGCCAGGTTTGGTTTGAGAAAACTGAGTATAAGAAGAAAGTGATAATAAAATCAGTGGATTATAGGTCTTGATGAAGTTGAAAAATGTTAGGGTGGGAAAGGCAAAACTATGGAGCCAGTAAAAAGATCAATGGTTGCCAGGGTTTGGGTAGGGGAGGAGGGAAAGATAAATAGGCAGAGCACAGAGGATTTTTTCGGGCAGTGAAGTTACTCTTCTAATACCATAATGGTGGATACATGTCATTATAAATTTGTCCAAACCCACAGAATGTACAATACCAAGAGTGCTCCGCAAGTAAACCATGAACTCAGGGTGCTAAGGATGTATCAGTGTAGGTTCATTAATTATAACAAATGTATCACTCTGGTAGGGGATGATGATAATGGAGAGGGTATGCATGTGTGGGGGAAGGGAGTATATGATAAATCTCTATACCTACCTCCCAATTTTGCTGTGAACCTAAAACTGCTCTAAAAAATAAAGTCTATTTTTAAAAATTAAGGAGATATTAAGATATTCTCAGATAAACAAAAACTGAAAAAATTCATTACTAATAGACCTGCCCTATAAGAAAAAGTTTATTTATTTATTTATTTATGTGAGTGAGAACTCGAGTAGGGGGAGGGGCTGAGGGAGAAGGAGGCTCTCCGCAGGGCTTGATCCTAAGACCCCGAGATCATGACCTAAGCTGAAGGCAGATGCTTAACCAACTGAGCCACCCAGGAACCCCACCCTACAAGAAAATTTAAAGGGAATCTTTCACATTAGACATTAGACAGCAGCTTGAATTCACCCAAAGGAATAGGAGCACCAGTTAAAGTAATAACATAGTAAATATATAGACAGTATGGTGTAATTTTTGTTTGTAATTATTTTCTTCTCATATTTTATATAAAAGACAACTGCATAAAGCAATAAATATAAAACACTGGTGGCTTTATAATGTATACAGATGTAATTTGTATGACAGCATAGCACAAAGGAGGGGGAAGAGAATAAACCTATATTGGAACAAAGTTTCTTTATATTATTGAAATTAAGTTGATATTAATCTGAACTAGATTGTTACAAGTTAAGATATTAATTGTAATTCTCTGGTCAACCATTAAAAACTAACAAAAATATATATATTAAAAGAAACAAGAAAAATGGTATTCTAGGAAATATTTAACACAAAGGAGAGTGGTAATATAAAAATAGAGGGACAGAAAAAAAGATATGAGACATAAAAAACAAATAGCAAAATGGCAGGCATAAATCCTGCTGTATCAATAATTACATTAACTATAAATGAACTAAATATTTCAATCAAAAGGCAGAGTGTGTGGTCATCCCGCAGAGACAGGGTGGTCCTTTCACCCCATATTTGCTCAGATATCAAGGCTGATGATGCCATACATGTACCAAGAGTGAATATAAGATGTATCATTCACATAATGAGGAGTTCCTGGGAGAGTATGGTAGGTTTCCAAGAAGGTACAAATATGGCTTGAGGCAGCAGGGAGGAGTGACTAACTTGGGGTTTTATGGTGATTAGGAGATAAGAGTTCCCTTGTGGGGGGTCAGGACTTGCATGGCTTGAACTTTCCACCAGTGCTAAGAGAGGAAGCATCCAGTCTTGTCAAATTGCCCAGATGTCAGGCAGAAAGTGGGAGGGGTAGTGTAGCTTGAAAGCTGTTAGCAGTCAAACACCAAAAAA